CCCTCACTCCCCACCCCACACGTCTCTCGCCCCCTCACCCCACCTCATGCCTCACACCCCACGCTCCACGTACGGGAGGTTTACTGCAGCTTTGCAAGCGGCACGGCGAAGGCAGGGTGCCAACAGGTGGGACAAAGGCGCGGCCGAAACCATGAGTGTTGTTTCTGTGCGAGGGTTCGCACTTGAAATCAAGAAAATCACGCGTAAACAAAGTGCATTCAGGGAGACACGAGCACGGGCACATGAGCTACAGAAAAATTAATTTCTGTTTGCAGGATGAATCCATTTTCCGTACTATTTCTTGACCCATCCATTGAGAGATTTATGCTTTTGACTACCAAATCGGTGCTCTGGTCAAGATTTCATTTACAAGCACTTCGCTATCCACCCTTCCGTTCTGGTTCTGGTCTATGACAATGGATCATCGGGTATATTCGCACGAAATAAACAAATCTTGTGTTTCAAATCTCGCCGCACCGCACCGCTTGCATAGAGTGCATGCTCACAGATATTCGTGATTTCGTTATATCTGGTCGTGTCGCTCGTGTTATATAGGTATTGTGGTGAGTTATCGTTGGTATTTCTAATGAAATAATTATATGCGTCGCCATTGCCAACAATGTTATTTATTAAAAATGTAGCTTCGGATGGCTTAGCCATCGAAAGCTGTTTTTTTAATAAATAGTATTGTTTTCAATCACGACGCATATAATTATTTCGCTCCTGTTAGTTTCTACCCTTTGATGGGCAATATTTACTCTGATAAACACCAAACATTTGGCGTCACATTTCAATGGTGCGTTCCAATTCGTTCCGTGCAACAGAGGGTTCAAACATGCAACAGCTCGAAGCTGCAGTGAAATAAGACAAGTACGGCATCTTTACATATTGAACATCTCCATATTCAGAACATTTTTATATCTAACTAGTTTTTATATTTTCGTAGATTCTAATTAGTATGTATTTTGGACACCCCCTTCTCTTGGGTGTTAGACACCCTTTTGTGGATAAGACTTCTACATACTTTGACTTTGAGTTTTCCTGCCCTTTTAAGAAGTGGTCTTGTAAGAGAAGAGTCAGGGTACATTTTAAGAGTATGGAGTTCTCCTGTAAGCAAAATCACACTTCCGTTTTAAACTTCTACGAAGAAAACTTACCGACAACATAACTTAGACTTAATCCCGCCCCCGCTCTGTACACAAATGCCCCTATGTCATTCAATTATTAGCAGTAAATTTTTGCGCTCTAGTGTGTATTTTGTAAACTACTAGAGGTTGTTAAAAAGTGTGAGGTTAAATAATTAAGTAAACTACCATTAATGGTGTTTGATAAAAGCGAAAGTTTACGTAGGAACATGAACGTCTGTATAGTACGTTATTTCCTGGCAAATTACAAAAGGATTCGGCAAAAAACCTTATTGTCAAGCTGTAGCAACAATAGAATTGACTATAAAAGCATAGGAATGAAATAGGCAATTCGTGAGTGAAGAGAATAAATCCGTAAATTAAGAACATTTAGATTCTAACACTTTATAACAAAATATTACGCTAGTCTCTACCACAAGTATTTTTAAAAAGTATTATTAATACAATTATTTGTGTATCTAATATAGAGAAATACCATGAAATACGAAAGTAATTTCTTTCTTTAATGATGTAATGGTGTACAATGATGTTATGGTGTAAGGGTGTTGAACAAATTTTCATAGGTACCACGTTCGGAGATTTTTTCTGAAAATCGGACCTACGCAGTATTATTAGACTTACGCCATGTTTTATTTTGCTCTGTAGTTAGTGTTTTAACAGTTTCTCATTGCACCTTCTTTCACAAACATTTTCGTAAATTATGTTCAAATCTCAGCTTTTGTTTCTGAAATAAAGTCAGAAATGATGCGAGACAGGGGTTCATTCTCCCAGAATATTTATTTTTATTGTGCTCCTTGAGTTCAGGATTCTAGTTCAATTCATTTTACATGCTTTTGCTCTTTCTTATATTATATATAAGAGCAATCGCTTGGGAGATAGAGCCTGAATACAGATGAGCCCTGTGTAGACTCTGTCCTGGGTGAAACGTTCGTAATTATTGCTTTTCTGGAGATCTATGTTTCAATTCCTCATTTAATTTCTATTTAAATCTAAGTTGATAATTTTATTCAAATGTGGGTAACTAATATATTATACGTTCTGTAAGGGGAACGACAACTTTCTAGTGATTAGTACACGGATGGCTAACAGATTGCTTAATCTTCGGAAAAATACGATATTTCATTATTGAGATATCTATTATCATAACGATACATGATCATTCAAAGTATTCTAAGTTCGGCAATGATGTATCTGTGTTTGAACATCATTTAAATTGGTCAAGTATTCTAGAAAGATTTATACGACAAATAAGATTACTTTCGTTTCCATTGCCGGAAATGAAGTACTACTAAAATATCATTAAACAGAACAAACATGGAAATTCTATGAAGACAAGTAAATCATATAAGATAGAAATTATCTAAACCGCCGATATCTTATGGGTTTCTTATCACTTTTATCATCTCTGATCAAATTAATATTTAACCTTTAAACATAACACTTATGTATCAATTTTAAACTTACGATTCAGTTTTAAACAGAATGGTTACAATTTTTTTGTTGTTGTTTAGGCAAACGTAGCGAACTCCGTGGAGCCGCAAGTGGAGGATTGCCAGAGATCTGACTCGGAAGAGGACCTCGTTCCCTGCCTTCCTTCTGGCATGTGACAATGCCAGAATCCCTTTCAGCATGTACGGTTTCATGCCTCTATTGTGGAAAGATCCATTTCACTTACAAATACCCGAAATATTAACCCTGTTCCAGTACATTGGCATTTTTTAAAATGAATTGGTACCGAAATAATGAGACAATCATCACTATACAACTTAGGACATATCCTGAATACGACGTTAGTCATACGAAGCGTTCAATTATTTCTCGTCTCTTAGATATCAAGAAGATGAAAACAATATTAAATGACATTGACAGAGCTCTAAAATGATGTTCAAGTTTGATTTCACTTCATTGAGGATCAGATGAAGTAGAAATGAATGAAGAAGATTAGTTTGGTAGATGGAAGTCGTGTTTTAGAAATATCGCGAAATTTTCTTAACGAAAGTAATTTTCGAATTCATAAACATTGAATTTTTGGATTCATGAAAGAGTGAGTGACTCTATAACACCGTGATAGGGATGTAACACTCGATGTAGCTTCAAAATTTATGTAAAAAGTCTTATTTCCTGGTAGATCCAACACATATCGTTAGAAAATACTTGTTAGAGACTTGTAAAAAGGACTCTACTTACCTGCTTTACCCGATCTTCACTAGTTTTCAATGTGCATATTGATAATTATTTGCAATAGAGTGCATGAACACCGTATTATAAGCAAAGTTACGTAACTTTATTGTACATCAGAAGGTGGAAGGATATATCAGGAAGAAATGAAGCTTCTCAGAAGCTCGAAGATCCTCTCTATACAATCAAACTCACACCTGCATAAGAAGTATCAAATGATAACACCTGTAAAAATGGAAAAATATAACCACCGCTCGGCATTAAGTTATTTCAATTTTATATTCAATGGTATGTCGAATGTTTTAAGAAACGATCATAATTCGAGAAGGAAAAGTCAATATCTCCAGCAGCATGAAGTGTTGATTCACTTCAAGGCATTTTCAAATTAATATTGGAAAACATTCCTATTTTAAGAAAAGTTCAGTGGTCTGATGGTTCACCTTCCACCACTGGATAACAAAGTTCAAATTTGTTATCCGCGTGAAATTTGCGGTGGACTAAACGGGATTATGGCAGTTTCGTGCCGTATCTTGCTTTATGCCACATACCAGTGATCATGTCTCACCTTAACTTTGTTATCCGTTGTGCATTATTATACACGTTTGTAACTTATCGCCAACAATGAACAGAACACTGTACTAATGGATTCAATTTCTTAGCATCTCTAAAAATACCACCTCAGCCAATGAAATGAATAATTATGAACTAATAAGTGGCTTTTAAAACAGTGTTTGTGCTTAGATAATATCAAAAAATAAGACAGGCCGCAATATACAATACACAAACAAACCCGATCGAAGCCGTGGATTTCTAATGGCGAAAAAATCCTTCGTACGCCTTACTTCGGAGGGGAAGTAGAGCCGGCTGCCCCATGTTAGTACATTTACTGCATGTAAAAGGTCCTCAAGCCTAAATGAAGCCTCTGAGCTAAATTCAAATCGCCTGTTTCGTCGCCCGAGGGATACCTCCTTTCTCCGCTAGTTGATGAAAGTAGCGTAGCGAAATTTGCGTGGTCAGACGGAAGAGCGGGCCTGATGGCCCGAGTTTCGCAACGTAAAATAAGGCATCAGTTCAATTTAATGCCAGAGCAATACGTTTTCAAACGATCCTCGGGCCGTGCGCGATCTTCCCTTTCTCATCGTTTTCTCCTCTCCATTTACACACGGCTTATACGAGCACTTGCTACACCATCACACACGTCGGGAACTTAAGAGACCGTATCCCCTCTGGAGCAGCTCCCCGAGGGCGGAGACACCGAGTCCCCTCTCCCAGGTGACGTGTAGTTCGGTACCGGATCACACGTTCTAGCGGGAGTGACTTTGTGACATATATGACACACCCCTGGGGTATGTGTGCCGGTAAGCCACCTTGAGAAACAAAGATTAAATTGGGTCTAATTTGAAATAAAATATTTTTGTAATTTGTATTTATTGCCCATTCATAACACAGGTCTTAATTACATGATTTTCTATAAAAACAAAAATGAGATCATCCCTATTTTGTCCATGAAAAAAAGCGGCTGGTGCGTGTCAATATATCTCAAAACTTCTATTTATTTTCTGGAGAAATAACGTTGTAAGATGTCAAATTGTTAGCAAAATGTTGTTAGTTGTTAATATTTATTACACAAATTTATCGAAAATGTCGAGTTTCAACATTTTACTCGAAACCAGAATAACTTATCAGCGCACGTTTCATTAAGATCTCATTGAGATAAATGCTAAAGGAGTGAGAGGTGTAGTTATTTCAATGGCAGTACTATTAACAGTCGCAAATCAATGAGGAGTGTGGCATGTTTACAAAACAATTCGAAACCGTCGCCATGCGTATTGTTTCGTGTAAACTCCAGTGTTCTCTTACTATCAGTCCTGCCCATAAACACATTTAAATCCTTTTTAGTATGTATATGCAGAAAACAATTGACATTTTGAGAAACATGGTGAATGTTGAATTAGTTCTCCAAAAAATGGAATTGGACATCTCTGACTCAGCAGAAAGGACTGCTAGGTAGAAATTGTTCAAAATATTATTGTCCTTGCCCTTGATCAAAAATTGAATTCATTTTAACAATAAATTGCAGAAAATTATTGT